GCTGTTTTCCCTGGCCACGAGCAGGGAGCTGGATTGGAGTGGAGTAGCCGCCCTGGCGCTCACAGGGGATGGCAGCGTTAGCGGACAATCAGGTTGCTGTGCCCTCGTGCCGGCCTTTCTCTCCTTGCTTTTCAAGTAAATAAATCAATAAACTTTGTTGTTGAAAGAAAGAGCAGAAGTAACCAGAAAGGCATGCTTGTCCATTGTTTGCTGTTGGGTGAAAAACAGCTTGTTTTATCAAGTAGGATGAGTTGGCTGTGGTTTTCTCATCGGAGCCCTGCATCAAGGTCAGGAAATTCCCTTCCACTCCTGTCTTGTTGAGGGGTTTGGCTTGTGAAGGTGCTGGATTTGTGTCCGATGCTCTCCTGCCCTGACTGAGATGAACATGTGTGTTTTGACTGATATATATATATAAAATTGGAAAAAAATATATATGCATATATATTTTGATTGGAAAGTCAGATACACAGAGAGGAAGAGACAGAGGAGAAGATCTTCCGTCCACTGATACACTCCCCCAGTGGTCGCAATGGCCAGAGCTGAGCTGATCTGAAGCCAGGAGCCAGGAACTTCTTCCGGGTCTCCCAGGCAGGTGCAGCGTCCCAAGGCTTTGGGCCGTCCTCCACAGCTTTCCCAGGCCACAAGCAGAGAGCTGGTTTTTTTTTTTTTTTAATTTTAATAATCTTAGTTGATTAGGGTACAAAGGGTCAAGGGCTACAGGGTGAAAGTGGGTAATATCATTGTTTCCACACCATTATTACAAGCAGGGAGCTGGTAAGCAGGGCTGCCAGGACACGAACCGGTGCCCATATGGGATCCTGGCAGTATGTGAATGCAGGGACTTTAGCTGCTAGGCTACTGCACTTGGCCCTGGCATATTTTTGCAGGGGCTGACTCTCATTGAATCAAGATTGCATGGCTGGGAAAGATCTCACTGGATCATGGCACATCAGCCTTTTTGTTAAATAAAGATTCTTTACAGCAATATCTCACTGAGAAGTTATGAGTAGGTGTGTGGTCTGTGCCCTTTCTCTGGCCTGGAGTCAAGGGAACACTGGCCACAGGGTTGGGGCAGAATTCTTCTTTTCGTTTTTGGAAGGTCCTGTGAATTGCTGTTCTTCTTCAAATGTTTTGTCCCAACAGGATCGTTATTAGCAATTCTATCTAAGTCTGCAAATTGTGTGTGTGTGTGTGGTAAATTTCAAGGTTTTTAATTGCTTTGGTACAAAATATTGATTTATTATTTGAAAGGCAGAGTTAGAGAGAGGTCTTCCGTGTGCTGATTCACTCCCCAAAGCCCTCAACCAGGAGCCCAGCATTCTCTCCAGGTTTGTCACCTGGAGGACAGGGTGAGGTCCTCAGACCCTCCTCTGCTGCTTTCCCAGGCATGGACAGGGAGCTGGATGGGAAACGGAGCAGCTGTTCATCGAGCAGATCGGTGTCACTGGTGGCAGCTTAATATGCTGTGCCACAACGCTGGCCTGTGCTTATTCATTTTTTATTTTATTTTTATTTATTTATTGGGAAGTCAGAATCACTGAGAGAAGGAAAGACAGATGTTTCATTTGTTGGGTCACTCCCCAGCTGGCCACAGTAGCCAGGGTTGGGCCAGGCTGAAGCCAGGAGCCAGTGGGTGGCTGGGGATCCGCATACTTGGCCAGCTTTCACTGCTTCTCCCAGGACACTAGCAGGGAGTTGGATCGGAAGTGAAGTAGCCAGGAATCGAATCAGAGCCCATGTGGGATGCCGGGGTCGCAGATAATGTTTCCTCATCCATTCATCATTTAAGGGTTTGGGTTACTGCATAATTTGATTATTATGAATAATTCTGCTGTGAACATGTGTGGCATGGGTACATGTCTACAGGTTTGGGCTCCCACGTGGGAGACTTGGACAGAGCTCTTGGTTCCTGGTTTCTGCCTAACCCAGCCTTGCCTGTTGCAACCATTTGGCAGTGGGGGCAGTGAATCATCAGAGGAAAGACCTCTTTCTTTGCCTTTCAAACAAACAAGCCTTTATATTAAAAAGGGGGATTTTTTTATGAATCATGATTGTCAATATGAAATGTAGGGTTTGCAAATACTTTGTATCATGTTGTAGGTTGTCTTCTTTCTTCGAGGTGCTCCTTAAAGCACAGTTGCTTTTAAGTTTGGTAGAATTCCATGTATCTGTTTTTCTTGTTTGTGTTTGTGGTGTCATCTCTGAAGTTATCAACTCCTGCGAGGTTCTGACCTCTACGTCCATTTCCCTCCAGGAGTTTCATAGTTGTAGGCCTTATGTGTCAGGGTCTGGAATCTCTTTCAAGTTAATATTTGTGTCTGGTGTAGGTGGTTCACCATCAACGATTCTGATAAAAATGTGTGAGGTGGTGTTGCGATACGCCAAGTAAAGCCACCACCTGGGATGCCAGCAGCCTGCATGGACGCCGCTTTGCATCCCGGCTGCTCCACTGCTGCGCCGGTTCTCTGCTCACCGCCTGGGGAGAGCCCTGGAGAAGGGTCCAAGGGCTTGAACTCCCGCACCCATGCGGGATGGGATTTGCTGTGAGTCGTTCCCTTCTGGAAGTGTTTCTCTGCATTTACACAATTTATTTCACTATACATTTGAATAATTGGTATTTTTAAAAAAGATTTATTTTTATTGGAAAGGCAGCTTTACAGAGAGAAGGAGAGACAGAGATGATCTTCCATTCACTGGTTCACTGCCTCAATAGCCAGAGCTGAGCCAATCCGAAGCCAGGAGCCAGGAGCTTCTTCCAGGTCTCCCATGCAGGTGCAGGGTCCCAAGGCTTTGGGCCGTCCTTGATTGCTTTCCCAGGCCACAGGCAGGGAGCTGTATGGGAAGCAGGGCAGCTAGGAGATGAACCAGCTCCTATATTGGATCCTGGCACATGCAAGGGGAAGATCAGCTGATTCGGCCACACGCTGCACCTCCTTACCTCATTTGAATTTTGTAAAAAGATATTTATTTATCTATTGGAAAGAGAGAGTGAAGAGAGAAAGAGAAGGAAATGCGGTGAGAGAAGGGGGTTCTTGCACGTATTAGTTCCCTCCCCGATGCCTAGATTGGCCAGTGCTGGCCCAGGCTGAAGCCAGGAGCCAGGGGCGCTGTCTGGGTCTCTCATGTGGGTTGCAGAAGCCCAAGCACTTAGACCATCTTCCTCTGCCTTCTCAGGCAGGTGACGAGTGAGCAGAAGCAGCCAGGACTTGAACTGATCCTCAGAACAGGAGTTGGCATTGCAAGGGGCAGCTCACCCACTGCACCACAACACCTGGCCCCTTCGTTTAATTTTCTGAAACAGTGCACTGTTGACAAGCGGCATGCAAAACTCCTGAGATGTAACAGCCAGCTTTCCTGCCAGCTGCGGTACCCAGTTCAGGGCCCCTTCCCCGATGCCCAGGCAGGAGCAGCTGCACACACAGACCTCGAGGAGTGTAGTGCGTTCCACACTGAGGCAGGGTCCCCAGCACCCAGCCGCAGCCAGAGCTGGCTGGCAGCAGCAGACACTGCCCGGTGGGCTCCCCAGCGATGGCTCCGCATCGGGAGGATTCAGTAAGGGTTGAGCACAGGAGAGAACGGCCGTGGGGGCGGTGAGAGTCATTGCTTCTCACGTAATTCCCAACTTGGGCTGCGCATTGGTTCCTGACTCCACCAGTACCTGGGTTGTTTGACCCAAGTCTCCAACCAGAAGCTTCAAGATATGCAGCAGGCAAACAGCAGGTGGGGCGGTGGGGTGACTGTTTCCATTAGATGTTCTGGAAGGAATGTGTACCTTAACCCCTGCTCTGTGAAGTGGGGAAGAGGAGCTTGTTGTTTTACTTATTTATTTTTAAACTTGGGGCTTGCTCACATCATAACAAAACCTGCTTTGTGAGAGAGGTCTGACGTGTTGCTGGGGCGCACCCCAATTAGGATTAACCAGCGGGTTGGATTATGAGGCGCGTGGTGCCCCAGCACTTGGACAAACAGGCAGGGGTCTCCAGGGCACGGCACTTCCTCCCCCTGCCACTTCTCCAGCACTGCTCGGCTTCCGTGAACCCAAAGTCCTGGGCCACAAGCAGACGCAGAGGCGGATGGCCGCAGGTTGGTCTTAGACCTTTGCCTCACTCGTCTGTCCCACCCAGCGATCCCCAGACAATCACAGACATTGTAAGCGCGTCAAAGTTCCCAAGATTCCATTGTCCGACTGCTCCGGCCATGCCTCCTGGGCATCGTCCTGGGTCCATATCCAGCAGTCAGGTGGGGGGATGGGGGAGGAGGGTCCCTGTTCCCTGCCAGCGAAGTCACTTCTGTACCAACAAGAGCTTCTGTTGGCTGGCCTAGAAAGTTCTTCCTTTGGTCCTTCTGCAGGATGGGGCCTTGCTTCACCCCTCCGTCGGGGGCACCCAGCACCAAGATCAGACACCATTGCTTCCAGAACAACACCTCCTCCAAGCCAGGCTCTGCGCCAGCCCCTGGCCCCTGGGGGCCACTGGCTGCCTGAAGCGTTGTCCTTAGGGCATACTCCAGCCTCACCTCCCAGCAGATGCTGAGGGGGTACAGGAAGGGCTTCTTTGGCAAAAGGAACAGCTTGAGTTCAGGAGCTGAGCCAGTGAGTGATGTGGACAGGCATCCTGCGTTTGTATATACGGGTCAATTTAAGAAGAGGCTAAAACGGTTCTGACAAGTAAAGAGGGGCCAAAAAAAAAACCCCGTATTTTTCTCATGCTACCAAAAACTAAGAGAAAAAATCAGGATGGCTCATGCATGGTTTTGATCATCTTGGCATCTCCCTGTATTTTTAAATTTAGCATCCTTGGGGGGAATTACCTGCTGCCTTCGCACTCCTCGGTCTGCAGAGGGCGCACTTGCCTCCTTCAGGAGGATGGGCGGGGCCGCAGCGTCCGAGAGAGCCAGACGGTTGGCCGGTGGGGATGTCCATCACGGAGTCCCGCCTCCGCATACGTCACATGACGCAGCCCATCATGGCGGCGGGAGCGCGGCTGCCCGGGCCCGCGGCTCCGCAGGGCTGCTGCCGTTGCTGCTGTTGAGAGGCGGCGGCGGGAAGGATGGTGTTTGCGCGGCCGGAGCGGCGGGCTGAGGAACGGCCGACGCAGCGGCGCTGAGGCAGCGTGGAGAAAGGCAGGACCGGCGGACGGAAGGCCACCCGAGAGCCGGTCCCGGGGGCGAGATGCCGGGGCCTCCGTCGCGGCTGCTGCTGCTGCTGCTGCTGCTGCTGCTCCTGGTCCTCCTGGGCGCCGGCCATGCCGGGGCCGCGCCGCTTCCGCAAACAGGTGCAGGTGAGCGGGGGTGAGGGGCAGGCCCGGGCCGGGCGGGCACGGCCAGGGATCTGGGGAGCTGCCTGTCTGCCGCAGGGGCGTGGGGCTGGGGGAGGGGGCCAGGCGGCTGCGGAGGGCGGGCGAGCCGGGTGGGCTGCGGCCCCGCGACCTGTTGCCCCCCGGAGCCCTTCGGCTTGCAGCAAGCCCCGCATCTCTTTTTCTCTTTGCACCTGCTGCTCGGCACCTCCTAGAACAGCCTCGTTCTGTAACGCCCCGGTCATCCTTGGAACATGCAAATGGCTTGACGAGAGCTGTGCCAACTTGCCTCTGAAGTTGTCAATGGATTGTTAGACGTCGTTCGCGATTATTGGTTTTGAAATTGATTTCGAGTGACTCTGGGGACGGACGAGGAAGGAAGCAGTTCTAAATGTGTCTGTTCTGGGAAAGCCAGGCTTAGTGTCACAGCCTTTGAATGCTCAAGTTTCTAGTCTAGCCCCTCGATGTGCGATTCTCTCCCCCTCCCCTGCCATTTCCTCTATATCGTTTTCATTTGCAGTTTTTTTATGTTCCCTAATTCAGCTGCAACCCAGCAAAGCATTCCAAGTTGGGTCTTTGATTATTATTATTTTTTTTTTTTTTGCCTCCCCCTCCTCCCCAAGGAAAAGAAAAATCTAGGCTAACTCGGCATTACAGCTTTGCTGCTTATCTTTGCACTGGGGAGAGATTGACATTCCACAAATTCATAGAATTTTAGCGTCGAAAGAAACCTTGCAGAGAGCGGGGTGCGGTTTCTGCGTTGAAGATACAGGGACACTTGGGTTCAGATGACCCACTCTCCAGGTGACCAGCGACGTTGTAGGCGGAGCCAGCAAGCCAGAGCGGAGATGCTTGGGGTTTGACTATGTTGCCACTTCCAAACTCCTGAGGGCAAGAGTGACTTTCGGAGTAATTTTAATTGGGTGTGGAATGTGAGCATTATATTCAATAAAGACAAGGTTTTTTTTTTTTTTTCCAAACAAATCGAGTCGTCTCCAGCTGTGCTGAGCGTCCCCTGCCCCCCAGCTAGCTGGCAGTTAAGTGTTCTCGTTGTGCCAGTTCTGTGTCCTGACCCGGTAGATAAGCACCCATGAAGTCGCAAAGGATGACGTGGGATTGAGTGGGGCTTGGTATTGAAGGCTGCTGTTGGTACCGACATTGAAAATGAAGAGAGTGCATTTTCCTGCAGGGTATCAGAGAAGTTTCTAGGCAGGCTGGTAGAAAGTTCTGAGCCTTGGTGCGTAGGTGTGAGTGTGTGTGTGTGCACGTGTGTGTGTTTAGAGGTGATGCATGCACAAGTGCAGACATCTGGGGTAAATGCTGTGGCACAAGCAGGTGCACAGACCTGGCTTTGGGGTCCATCAGTTTTTCCGCCTAGAGAGGATGGTAAGCCGCATGGATTCTTGGATCAGCATCACATTGTTAGACTAAGGAGCGGAAACCTTTGTGCCGTTTCTGGTGAGCTCACGGGTCCAGAAGCGGGACTCGCTGAGGCACGGTGGAAGCAGTGGTTGGATGTGGAAGACTGATGGCCCGGGACCTGTGCGCCACGCCAGGGCAGGGTGCTTCGGTCTTAGGCTACGTGACATTGGTGCCTCAGAGAAAACCTTCTTAAGAAAGCAAAAAACCCAAACACTGTGGATTTTATCCTCTGCCAGCCTTTTTTTGCAAGAGGCAGTTGATTAAAACATGACTTTGAAATGGAAATCTCAGCCGAGGTGTGTGTGGCCCAGCACTGTAGTCTCTAGGCTGACGGAAGGTGTTCTGGGGCTCCCTCGTGGTGCTGTGAGAGGGGAGCCCAGTCCTCCCTCGAGGCCTTTTTCCCTGGGAGTCTGCATTTCAACAAGGCTCCCCTGCCCCCGCCCTGTGCTAAGGAGGCAGTGTGGTGAGTCCTGCTCAGGACGCTTACATAAAAGGAGAAAAGTCCACTGTTTGCACACACGGTGGAATCAGCTGTCAGGTGACGGCTCGGGTCTTTCCCCCCCAGATCTTCCTTCTCTGAGAAAGCCCTCGCCGTGCCTTTTTTAAAGTCCAGGTGTGAACTCGGACTGGCAGCTGGGCGAGGTCCTGCAGGTGCCTGTGTGGTTGACGTGGGCAGAGTGGTTGGACCAGGAAGCCTGTCTGTTGTTCGGCAGCATACTAGGTCACGGAGCACAGAGGAAGCTTTTAGCCGCTCCAGGTAGAGGCCCTGGCGGAAGTCAGGGCGGCCAGCGGCCCGGCTCCCACCGGCAGCCTGGGAGAGCTGGGCTCTCGTGCCTTGGCCTTGTTTTAGATCAAACAGGCCTGTGTCTTGAAAAAGATTGCGACCCTGAAGGAAGTGCTGTGCCACGTGTGACTGTCTGGGGTCGTTCTGAGAAAGAAGAATGCTTTTCAGCAGGCTTTCCAAGCAGGTTCTTCTGAGGTTGGAGGGCTGCACAGTTGGAAATGTGGTTTAGGGCTGGCAGTGCTGGGATTGGCTTTTACCTGGTACCTGTTTTGCAGTAACCAGCTGAGGGGAAGAGGAGCTTGTCCGGCTGTGTAGCCCGTCTCTGTCGAAATGACCAAATCCCTCGGTCTTGCTGATAATCGCTGTGCAGGATTCATTTGAAGTTTTGAGGCCTTGGGCCCTCTGTGTCCCCTGTGGGCCCTCTGTGTCCCCTGTGGGCCCTCTGTGTCCCCTGTGGGCCTTGTCACTTAGATAACAGGCAGGTGCCTGACAAGGAGGATATCAAACAAAAGCAAAAACATGAAAAGGTTCTGTGTGACTAAGAAATGCCCAGCGTCTCAGTTACACCTGTGGGTCCTTGTGGCTCCACACACTGAAAGAGCCCAACTTCTCGGCCAGGCTCAGAGCGCGACTCGCAAGCCATCGCAGGAGGCAGCACAGCTTCCTAGCCTGCCCTTGGGCTTGGGCACACGACCCGGGTGCAAGGCCCTGGCCAGCTCTCCGGCCATGCCTGCCCCTCTGCCAGCCTCTTGGCCCTGGCGGTTGCCCAGGATGAGACCGTCTTCCTGAAGGCAGCCTCGGGAAGGGTGGGGCAGTGTTGGCGTCGCTACGCTCTGCCGCCCGGCCCCGTGGGTGTCTTCATCACCTGGGGTTTTGCCGTGAGCTTGGTGGGTTTTCATGGAATCGACTGACTTTGTGGTGGCAACTCCCAAGTGGTAGCCGTTTCACGTGTCATGCTTGGAACCTACTGGATTTACAAAAGAACGAAAATCCGTGACTCCGAGTAGCTCGCCACAGGATGGATGGAACCCCGGCTTGCTTCAGCGGGATAGCCGGGGGGAGACTGATAGACCGGGCAGAGTGGAGCCTCTGCCTTCCAGACATTCCTGGTTTTGGGGACCCAGCTGGATTTTTAGGACAATCTAGATTAGTCTGCTTTTATGTAATGAACCTGTTTTTAAACTTGAGGATGACTAAAGCTCTTGCGGGTGAACAATTGCTGGTTTTAAAATTATTTAAAGGAACCATGAGCAAGCGTAGGTTCTGGATCGCAAGCAGAAACTGCACGCTCGGGTGAAGCGTCTCCCCAAAGGCAGCGTGGTCAACGTGGCCACGGGAGGACAGTCCCCAGGGCCGTTCTCCCCCGTGGACAGCATCAGAGACGAACGGGACTGATGTCTGCTCCCCTACCTCCCCCCCCCCTTTTAAGATTTGTTTATTTTTATTGGAAAGTCAGTTTACAAAGAGTAGGAGAGACAGAGAGAATGATCTTCTGTCTGCTGGTTCACTCCCCAAGTGGCCGCAGTGGCTGGGGCTGAGCTGATCCAAAGCCAGGAGCTTCTTCCGGGTCTCTCACGCGGGTGCAGGGTCCCAAGGCTTTGGGCTGTCCTCGATTGCTTTCCCAGGCCACAAGCAGGGAGTTGGATGGGAAGTGGAGCAGCCACGTGTGCCCATTTGGGATCCCGGTGCATGCAAGGCGAGGACTTAAGCCACTAGGCTATTTGCTGGGCCCCGTCTCCCTTTTTAACAGAAGCATGTGCCTCTGCCACGTATTCGCTGTTTTACCCTGAAAGGTGTTATTCGCTACATGTGTAAGGGCACATTACAGAAAGGGATAGAATGACACTGTTGGGTTTTTATTTAGTTAGCAAAAAAGATTTATTTATTTGAACAACAGAGTGATAGCATCAGCTGTTTCACTTCGCTGCAGTGGCTGTGCCTGGGTCAGGCTGAAGTCCGCAGCCGGGCACCTGTGTGGGGTCCCCCTGAGTCCACAGCCAGGCACCTGTGTGGGGTCCCCCGTGGGTGGCCGCAGCCAGGCACCTGTTTGGGGTCCCCCGAGTCCACAGCCAGGCACCTGTTTGGGGTTCCCCGAGTCCGCAGCCAGGCACCTGTTTGGGGTCCCCCAAGTCCACAGCCAGGCACCTGTTTGGGGTCCCCCGAGTCCGCAGCCAGGCACCTGTTGGGGTCCCCTGTGGGTGGCCGGAGTCCAGGTACTGGTGTTCATCGCCATCTTCTGCCTCCCTAGGCACGTTTGCAGGAACCTGGGTCAAGCAGAGCAGTTTGGATGGGAGCTGGGACTCCAGTGTGGGCTCCCAGCATCTCCAGTGGTGCCTTAACTGGGCTACGAAACTCCTCCCCCACTCAGGGTTGGTTTTTAGATCTGATTCCTAAGTTTGCTTCCATTCTTCACTAGGAAGATACTGTTTCAGAAGGAAGCCTTGGGGTGTCCTCCCCTTAAAGTGCCCAGTCGGAGTCCCGTACAGGTGCCGATTTGTGTCCTGGCTGCTCCATTTTCCATCCTGCTCCCCGACTGTGATCTGGGGAAGCCTTAGAGGATGGCCCAAGTCCTTGGGACTGTGCACCCACACGGGAGACCCAGAAGAAGCTCCCAACTCCTGGCTTCAAATCAGTTCAGCTCTGGCTGTTGCAGCCACTTAGGGAGTGAACCAGCAGATGGAAGATCTACCTGTCTCCCCTTCTCTGTAACCCTGCCATTCCAATCAAAATAACAACAACAAAGGAAAAAAAGGAGGAGGAGGAAGCCAGGGAACTATGG